ATGTCGACGTCGCTACCACCGTGGACAGACGTGGGGCTGCATAACAGTGTAGATCTTCTGCGGCCGGTGTCCACTGACATGTCGCACAAGCCCGGTCTTATGGTATAGGACTGCCTAGCAGCATTTCTCTTATCCCTAGAAAGGTGATTTATGTTGTGCATAGCATATGGAGAGGATGTATATGTGACAACACCTGTCTTGATAAACAGAACTTTCTGTGATTTTATATGGTGTTATTACTAATTGCCCTAGTATTAATGCAGATATTTGAAAGGTCCAGAGATTTAAAAGGTCTAATCACACTAAAGTGTTCATAGGTCCTCCTCGATTTAGGGAGGGGGGGGGGGAACGATTCATGTGTGTTTGTCCACTCGTTCTACTGTATAGTGTACCACGGGATAGAACATTCTTGGACAGGGGACTTTGGACCACACAATGGTACTTGTTCCAGGCAGACACTCATGGTTACCCTGGTATGTATAGTGAGACATGCCTGAGTGGGGATATTTTTCTTTTATGTGAATAAGATTATTTTTTCCTTGTTATTTATTTCTTCTTGGAAACTCACAAACAAATTTTAAAAGCATTTACAATTTATTCCTCCATTCTGTATGTCCATTTTGTGTACGCGATAAGAAATGGACTGCTGATCTCTGGCACATTATGATTGTGATCTGAGAAGTTAAGTGTATTTTTAGACCTATTAATTGCCTTCTAAAACATAAGTCAAGAACACAAAACTGCCAAATATAATCACCCTGCTTGGAATTCCATTCCTAAGCGAGTACAACAGTCATGGTTTGTCTACATAGATCTGGCTGGACTTGAAGTCAGGTTCTCATTGTTTCCAGTCAGTTTCTCTACTTATGATCCACTACAGTTTGATACCTATCAGTTTGTTTTGCAGTTTATACTGCATCTCTGGGGGGAGCTGGGATCATGCTGACTCACCTGCAGTTATTTGCCTAATCTGTGGTTCATTAACTGACTTTAAAGTCCTGCATCTCATCATCTTCAGGTTTATTTTTGTTAATTCCTCTTCTGGAAGCATTCTACCTATTCCTGACTCCTGACTGGCTTTGTACTTCTACTTCCAGATTATCATTTAATCATAATAGCTGCCGGCCCTGATCTTTAAATTTGTCTTATACTCTGACTTTGGATTTTCTCT